CTTATATTAGATATCTCTATCAAATGCTCATAGAAAGTGAAAAAAATATTGAAGCACTTACTGATGAAGATCAAAGACCTTTGCTTTTGTTGTGTTAGGTGCCGCTGAGTACAACTGCTAGTGACGCTACGAACACAGATGGGACCTCTGTCGTCTCCTGTGTCCTCATCATCTCCGACACCTTCAATCCCACTGCAGCGGTCACTGTGTCAATTCATCTGGTTGAGAGTCTGCTTGTCTTTCACTGACCTTTCCAAGCATGATGTCTCTCTCCAAGAAACAGCCTTGCCTCGTGACACGCTCAAAATCCATGAGATGGAGCTTTGTCATCCCTGCCTCCAAGGAGCACTGGCTATTTTCTCCAAGACAGATCTGTGCTCATTTTCTGACAGGCCATGGGGTACTCAGTACTCTTCTCCAATCCCACAACTCCAAGGCATGACTCGGGCAATAGGCGTAGTTGTGTCAGAGTCAGAGACACTGGCTCAGGATAGGACAGGGGTCAGAGCTACTGGACACAGGGTCACTATGAGTTGCAGGCACTTAACAACAACAACAACAACACACCTCAACATTATATGTAAATAATCAAAAGTGGATCAATAAGCAGCATGATGAAAATGGAGAAAGTACTGCAGCAGTCAAGCCTTGACTTACATTGGCGATTAATGCTACAGAAATAGCTATAAAGAGATCAAATATGAATACTGCATTAAGCAAATTTGCTGTAAAAAGACCTCTTTAAAGTGTTAAGCAAAGATGTCACTGTAAGGACTTAGATGTACTTTGCTGAACCCAAAACATTTTCCATTATCTCAAAGGCACACGAAATCTGGATAATGAATAAGGAAGCTCCAAAAAGATCTGATGCGTCTGAATGACAGTGTTGGTGAAGGATGTCTGCTACACCTTGGACTGGTAATAGAATAAACAAATCTCCCCCGGAAGAAGTGAAGCCAGAAGTCTCCGTAAGTGAAGATGTCAGATGCTCATCTGATGTCTCTGCACATGCTATGAGGAGGGACCAGTGCTGGCAGAAGGACCCCATGCTTGGAAAAGCCGAGACTCAGTGTAAAAAGCAGCCCTCGATGCAACTGACACAACGGCTACACCAACGGGCTTAAACGCAGTGAGGACTGAAGACGGCAGAGGGTTTTCCTTTTGAAGTTCTCAGGGTTGTGATGAGCTGAGATCAACTCGATGACACATAAAATGGGACTGACATGTCTGACACTGATGACTGTAGAACTACTTACATATTTATTTCTAAGTATATAAAAACATGAGTAATATAGAACAATAATATCTATAAGTTTTTTGCAGTCATCAACTAAGACATATTTGATTACTGCATGTATGTTATGTGCCACTGAGTTGCCTGTGACTAACAGCAACCCTGCCCTAAACCCTGCTCTATCCTATGCCAATCTTATTGTCTCTGACACAACTACTCCCATTACCCCAGTCACTGAATCAATTCGTATCATCGAGGGTCGTTCTCTCTTGTGCTGTTCCTCCACCCTCTCCAAGGACTGATACCACCTTGCAACATGTCCCAAGTACGTCAAAGCTTCAGAATCCTTGCTTCCGCCCAACAACTACTGTTACCATCTAGATCTGATTCCTTCAGCTTGTTTGGCCACACGCTGGGCTGTGGTCATTACTCTGTGTGTGAAGTGTGGAGAGGAAAGTATAGGAAGAACTCTAGAAAACCCGGGTTTTAAAAAAAAGAGTTGTGTAGTAGTTGTGGGATTTGAGGGTAAATATCTCGTGTCCTTCCTTTAAGCGATCTTTGGTGTTTTGGGTGACCCAGCCTTGTTAGCAGTATTTTCAGAGCAAACAGGCAAGACACGTTCAGTCTAGAAATCTCGACGCCACAGAAATGCATTAGAGAAACGTGCCTATTGTTTTTCCATCAATCGACTGTGGGTCACCTCTCGGGATATATATATATATTTTGTGGGTTTATTTGTTTCTTACTCTGGTTGTGGTCCTTCTGTCTCTATCTGTAATTATGCCAACAATAAAAGCGAAGTTAAAAATAAAAAAAAATTAAAAAAAAAAAAAAAAAAGAATCCTTGCTTCCAAGAAGTAGCCCGGTTTCACCTTCTCCAGGACAAACTTGTTTGTTCTCCTAGCAGTCCATGGCATATTCAGTACTCTTCTCCAACAATATAGCTCAAAGGCATCAATTTTCCTTCTATCATTCCTAGTCATTGTCCAGCTGTCTGACGCACAGAAAGTAACTGCAAAGACTATGGCCTAGATCAGGTGCACCTTAGTTTCCAGACTGACATTGTTGCTGCTCAGTACTTTGGAGAGGTCTCTTACAACAGACTTTCCCAATGCAATTTGACTTTTCATTTCCTGGTTTCTTGGTGCCAAGAATGTTGACTGCAGAGCCAAGCGAACTAAAGCTGTTAACAATCTCAATCTCTTCACCATCTATCACGATGCTGCCAATCGGCCCAGTGGTGAGAACCTTTGTTTTCTTTCTATTAAGCTTCAATCCACATTAAATGCTGCAGTTCTTGACCGTCTGCAGCAAGTGTTTCAGGTCCTCCTCAATTTCAGCAAGCTGAGTTATGTCATCTGCATAGAGCACACTGTTGATGAGTCTTCCTCAAATCCTGTTGCCACATTTCTCCTCATAGAGCCCAGTCTCCTGAATAGATAATCTGTTCTGCATATAAATTAAAAAGATATGGAAATAGGACACATCCTTGGCACACACCCTTCCCAATTTTGAACCATGCATTGTTTCCTTGCTCTGTTCTGATGACTGCCACCTGGTCAAAGTATAGGTTTTGCATAAGCATTATCAAGTGTTCAGGGATTCCCACTCTTCTCTGAGTCAGCCATAGTTAGTTGTGATCCCCACATAAATATTGACATACTAAGGTATTGGCAAAATGAGATGGACTGGCATGAGACATTTTGAGTCAAATGATCATAAGATCTACTATGCTGGAGATGAAAATGTGAGGAAAAAATGGAGTTGCTTTCATATTTAAAAAGTCATTTCTAAATCTGTCTTGAAATACAATGTTGTGAGTGACAGGGTAATACGCATACACATACAAGAAAGTCCAGCAAATACCACCATCATTCAAATACATTCACCAATAACCAGAGACAAAGAGGAGGAAATAGAAGATTTCTATAAACTTTTGCAGAACAAGATGCATTAATAATAATGGGTGACTGGAATGCAAAAGTTGGGAACAGGGAAGAAGGATCAGTAGTCAGAAAATGTGGACTTGGTGACAGAAATGAAGATGGAGATAGAAGGATAGAATTTTGCACAGTGACATATTCATTATAAATACATTTTATAAGAAACATAAACACAGGCTATACACTTGGATTTCACTTGATAGTACGCAAAGGAATCAAACAGATCACATCTGTGGAAAGAATCGTTGGAGAAGCTCAATATCAGCTGTGAAAACTAGGCCAGGTGCTGATTGTGGAACAGACCACCAACTACTCATAAGCCGAGGAAAATCAAGTCTACAAGAACCAAAATTTGACCTTGAGTCTCTCCTGACTGAATTTCAAAACCATCTCTGAAACAGGTCTGAGGCCTTGAAATTTACGAGCAAAGACCAAATGAGCTGTGGGAGGGTATCAAGAATATCGTCCAGGATGAATGTAAAAGGTCACTGCAAAGACAGAGGAAGAAAAGACCAAGATGGATGTCAGAAGAAACTCTAAATATTGCACTAGAGCACCAAGAAGCTAATGCAAAGGGAAGAGATAAAGACATTAAGGAGCTGAACAGAAGTTTCAAAGGGCAGCACGGGAAGATTCAAAAGGCAGCACGGGAAGACAGAGTAAAGTATTACAATGAAATGTGCAAGGAGCTGGAGTCAGAAAATCAAAAGGGAAGAACCTGCTCAGCATTTATTAGGCTGAAGGAACTGAAGAACAAATTCAAGCCGTGAGTTGCAACACTGCATTTTTATTTTTAGATAGATAGATAGATATTTATGGATATATATTTATTCATAGGCATTTATACAGTTATCAAATAAAGTAAGGGTTTAAGAAATAATTTTCATTTTTTACGTGAAAACTGAATGCAAGACATCATGTAGTTTGGCCTTAAAACACAATAGTCTAATCAGGCAACTGAAAGAACAGGAGGAAGTGAGCAGCTCACGGAGAAAGACATTCCCAATCAGATGTCTGCGGCTGTTTACTCACGCAACAGGCTGCATGCCCCCCAATGACAAAACCTGCCTGCTTGAGGAAGTTAAATAAAACCAAATTATTAACTGAAGAATTTTTACCAATTTCTATGGGTTAAATACAGTATTCCTTGATGAAGAAAAATATAATTAAGTATAATAAGATTGGTCCTTAGACAAGGACATCATGCTTGGAAGGGTGGACGGACAACACAGGAGAGAGAGACCCAGGATGAGAAGGACTGATGCAGTAACTGGGGCGACGGAGGCTGGTGTGTCAGAACCACTGAGACTGGCTCAGGACAGGGCAGGGGTCAGAGCTGCTGCACATAGGGTCACTAAACATCGCAGCCGACTCAAATGGCACATAACAACAGTAACATACTATGACAGGTTTGGAAGCAAGAGTGGCATCCACTTTGTAAACAACATGTTCCAGAAACTCTATGAACTTTGATAAATGTCGACAGTTGTAGAGGAGCATCAGGCCCCTTGGTCATAGGGTCACTATGAGTTATGCTCGACTTGAAAGTAATCAAAAACAATGTACTATTATTTAAGCATAATAATATCACGTGTAATAACAATGTGCACTCATGGACTCAAAGTGCTGACCTTAAATGACTTAGCATTGATTTCTAAGAGCAAATCTTTGCCACAGAAGTGAATCCACTCTTAAGCATTTGTAAAAGGCTTCACTATACAGTACGTCTTCCCATGAGAATGAATCTTCACTGTCCATTCTGCAATGGAAAATCACTGACCCGTGCTCAGGCGGCAGCCCCAGAGCGCCCACTGTGCTCTTACCTTTCACTTGTGGTACGTACGGTATAGACAATCTCTCAACACTGTATCCACTTCCACCCAGTGACTCCGCGATCTTATTGGTCAAAAAATACAGGTTTTTGTCATGCTTCTCCAACGACTTAGGAAGCCTGTCAGGTTGAGTAAAACAACAGTTATTATTATTTAATTAGTGAACAAAATTAATTGTAAAATATTCTAGGTGGGAAAAACCTTGCTAATGATATCCTTAAATTCTAAATATAAGCACAACTTATTTGAGTTCTTTTAAAATACGTGGTATGTGGACCCTTCTATCATCTCTCAGGAATACTGTTCTGGTAGTGAACTTAGATTACACTGACAGTCCTCAGACATTAAATGATGAAGATCACTAAGATAAGCCCCAACTCTCATGCTAATTAACAATTTCACTGAGAGGAGAAATTAAAAGTGAGTTTCTTTTCATGAACTCAGAATGTTTTTCACTATTCATGAAAAACAGATGAGCTCTCCTAAGACACAGCAAGTGCTGGCCCAACCATGTAGGACTCACTTTCTTTGAAACTGCCTGATACCACCTTACACCGCAGTGTCCAAACGTTTGAGTAAAGTTTCATAGACTTCTTATTTTCACCCTTAATACATTCTCCCACAGTTCAAGGAACTTTGTTATTTTTCTGAAAGTCTTTAATAGGATGCTACATTCTCTTAAAGAAGTGTCCGTTACATATGAAAAAACCAAAATATGTTCATTGTCACTGGGCAACAGTCGACTCAGAGTTGACCCTCAGAGGGTTTTCAGAGACGGTCAACCACATGAGAGGAGATCACACAACTCTCTTCTGTGGAGTTGCCTGTGGATTTGAACCACCTGCACTTGAGTTGGCAGCAACCTCATACTGCCCTAGACCACTAGGACTCCCTATTTATCTATGAGAACATTAAAAAATGTGCATTGAAAATTGTATCTCCATAATTTAAAAAAGAGAGACACACTTTGCTTTTAAAATAGAATGCCAACATCATCTGTGCATCAGGATACAATTAATGTGCAGAGAAAGAAGTCAGATCAACAGAATGACACAAATACAAAATTGCTGTGATGGTAACGTGCTGTGAGCCAGGTATGACTCATCGGCTGTAAGACAGCTGGTATTTCAACTGTGTGCCTTTAGGTTTGCTGTGCAACTCCTTAACCCCCAGGCCAAAGCGGTGCTCACTATACCGCCCCCACAAAGTCATGATCAGGACAGCATAACTCTAGATAATCATTCCTGATCAGTTTCTCAAGTCAGTACTCCTTCTCGAAAATGTAAGAATTAACATACGTGCACTTATCTCTGAAAATATGCTCTGGTAGAAAGTAAGGGGCATCCATAGTTCGAATTTCAATAACCTGAAAAAGATTCATAAACAACAATAAAAACCACACCTCTCAGGACCTTGCTAAGAAATTTTTTAAAAGATAAAACAAAAAAGCCTTCAAAAACTTTTAATAAAGACATTAATTTTATTTTGTAATATAAGCGAGGTTAGAACCTCAATGCAGAGATCACTTTGTTTTTGCTTTTTCTTTGTCCCCTCTCTTGACATTATTTTTTTAAAATAGTGATAATAAAATCATGGTAATTAGGTAAATATAAATCCATGCAATAAAATCAATAACATTAGTATCTTACATTATATTTGGTTGGCACCACTATAGGAATGTACAGACATGTTCTTCAACACCTGTCTGGAAACCTGTCTCAGAACACATGGCCTACCCCCTTCAATCCACACTGCTTTTGGAAGGGTGTGTGCACAGGAGATTGGTATGCCTTGGTGAGGCCTCGCTTGGGGATATTTCTTTAACAGCTGCCCCTAACTATGTACTGAGATGTTTATTTAATGAATAAATATGTTTTTTTTCTTGGAATGTATTAAAGACTTACATTTTGGCAAGCACTGTCAACTTAACAAAAATGTTATGTACGGTCAACTTCATAAAAATGGAGTTCTCCTTGACAAATGTCTTTAAGTAATAAATTTTACAGTGGACTTTCTTTTTGTCTGATATGTTAGAGTTTTGAAATGTATATTAAATCATACATGCAATTTTTTTAAAATTTATTTTATCTTCATTAACTTTTTGTGTGTGTACCGTCAAATCGGATCTCACTGGTACAGGAGGAGACTGTCCCTCCTCCTCCATCAGAGAATCTGGTACATGCAATTATTTAATGAGTTATTAGGAAAAAAGGCTAAATATAGTTAGGTGACATCAGATAAGTCTCTCAGAAGCCATTAATTATTTAACTTGTGAGATTTGCATGAAATAAATTGCTTTTAAAATAGACTAGTGTAACTGGAGAAAATGTAGAGTCATAATTAATGGTTCAAAAGGAAAAAATACATATAAAGAAATCAGATGAAACTTTATACATTAAGAAGATGATGTACTCCAAAATGGGAAAATATGGAACAAAATTTAAAATCTCATGAACTCTAGATTTTCTACAACCTAGAGCCTGGAAGAAGCCCCTCAACTACTGCACTGAGATAGACTTTAAACAAAACGTGTCCCCCACGCACTCTACTTTACACCCAACGATAGCCTACTTAGCTAGTAAAGGACATCAATAGCAACTTGAAAGGTTAAGCAGGACCTGTTGGGAAGACTGAGTTCATGCTGGAGGATGAGGATCAATTCCAAAGAGAAGGGTGAGAATGATTGGCAATTCAGAGTAAAGTCCTTGTCACTAAGTAGTACGTGTACAAACTATGGCCTCGGTATGCAGTCTGCTGTATGCATCTTTAAGAACAAAAATTTATTTTAAAAATAGAAATCCATGTATTCTTTCCAAACAATATATATTAAAAAAAAACTCTAATAGGAAAATGGGCATCAAGGAAAAGATGAAAATAGCAGTTACAATTTTTGCTGCGGTTCCTACTTCCAGTGTAGTCACTGCCTACTTCTAAGGGATTATTTTACTAACTTGACATACAACCACCAAGATGAAAACCAGTCACCACTACATAAAATGCAGCCCTTTTCGGGTGCACAGGTCACCTTGCTGACGTGCTGGCAGAACGCAGGGACGGCTATCATCTGACTGACGAAGTTGAGGTACGCTGCAACCAGTGCCATGATGCCACAGCGATGGAACATTGGCAAGTTGTCCTCGTTGAGAATCACACTGTCCTTTTGTGAGAAACAAACACATCCAATCAATGGCTCCATTAGTGTCTTCTCTACAATTATGCTGGAGCACTACACAGTCCACAACGCTAAAGAAACCTACCACCTTACAAAAAGTGTCAGTTTTTTTAAAAGAAAAATCTACTAAAAGGAAGTTACCATTTACAGGAGTGAAATCTCTCCTTCCTTTCATGGTCTCCTTGCTATACAGCACTCCTACTGCATACTGTCCATTTATTTACTAAGTAACAGTTTCACAGCTCTATTGAACAACTGTTTCATGCAAATGTTTCTTTAATGAGACAGTCAGAACAGTGTACCTGTAAAGCAATGGCTAAGCGAATGAGATCAATAACCACTTCTTCATTGGCCAGTTCAATAGTCATAAGAGCAAGAGAAGTATAAAGTAGCTCATAGTTTTTCTGAACATTGTCTTCTTCTTTGCAGCCCAAATATATGTGCCGATATAGTTGCTGTCCATTCTGAAAGGGGAAATGGAGGGAAAAGACACATTTTCACCTAAAGAGAACAAATACATATAACTTCCCACCAAGTGGCTATCTTACTACCTCACTTAAATAGACGTCAAATTCAAGCTTATGATCATGTGGTTAAATTGTATTCCAATTATTAGGACAAACACTAGCACATAACTATACAAACACTAACATACAACTATCAACCAGTGTAGAGTTAAAGAACAAATCCTAAGTAACTAATGCAAATGAGTTCAGGAATATAGCAAAATCTATAAAAGCTGGAACCTGGGTAAGGCTTGTCAGAGAAGGAAAACCTCGGAACTTTCCATTAAAATGAGCAGCAGAAATGTGGTAGTCTGATAAAGGTAGAAAAATCTGGGAGATCCAAGAAACAAGGCCATCCCATCAAGGTCCACCTTTTTTCAAAGTTTCACTGTAATTGTGAAAAAATAAAGGGAACAGCACACTATAGACTGACTTAAGAAAAAGGAGATGGTGGCAGAGCTGTGGGAGAGAGTTCAGGTGAGACAATCTTGAGTCTGAAGTGTTCATTTCAGTGCACTGTAAATGAGGCTATCTGTTGGCCTAGGGCTGAGGTGTATGCACATTGAAGGCTGTATTCCTTGATCTTGGGCAGCAAGTGTCTCAGGTCTTCCTCATTTCAGCAAGCAAGACTGTGTCATCAGCTTTAACATGGGTTGTTGTTAAGTCTTGCTCCTATTCTGAGTTCAAATTCTTTATAAAGTCCAGTTTTTCAAATGACTTGCACAGCATATAGAATGAACAGGTGTGCAGAACATTTATCTACATAATAGCAGTAAAGTTCCACCACTTACCAAGAGCGGATATCCTGCCTACCTCATTTTCAGAACCTAAACAGTGCACAGAACAACGCCATTGCACAGTAAATACTATCCGTTTATTCAGTGGGGCTAGCTGTGTTTAAAAAGGCGACGCTTGCTATCATAGAGGGACTGCACATGAGCTTGGAACATGCGCTTGGGAGAGTGAATTAAAGGGGACCTGTGACTCAAAGGGGAAAGTTGGGAACTCTAAGAGCATTCCAGCATCCCAACACTTTAGGTAGAAGAAGATACCATCAGGAGGGTGTGGTTATAGCTAAATTTATGGCTAAATTTGAAGGTTAGCAATCAGTGTACAACTATTCAAACATTCACATGGTTCTATTGTACTTCACACATTATTTTTCATTAGATGATCTTACCTTTTTCATGAAACTTGTATCTTGTCGACAAATTTTTTCTCTTTTTATCTTTAGGTCGGCTACATCTGGTATTATTCTAGAGATAATCAATACATCATTTTTAATCAATAACATAGAGCAGAGAGGGACGGCGCAGGAGAGGAAGAACCTCGATGAGATGGACTGATTCCGTGACTGGGGTAATGGGAGTGGGTGTGGCAGAGACAGTGAGGTTGGCACAGGATAGAACAGGGTTTAGGGCTCTTGTACAAATGGTTGCTATGAATGCAAGCTACTCGGTGGCACATAACAACAACAACATCATAAAGGAAACCATACTTGGGAGAAAAACTATTTAACTCATTTCAGTGAGTATGTTACATAAGTCTATGCAGGAACTGATTCATAGCTGACCCTCCAGAGGATTTCGAGAGGCAGTAAACTGCATGGGAAGTAACTGCCCATCCTTTTCCCAGTGGAGCAGCTGGTGGATTTGAACTATGTGCCTTTAGGATAGCAGCACAGCTTCTTATCACTAGGTCATTACCAAATTAAAGTAAAGGGAACTGGACAATGTAATCGTGTCTAAGGCCATTTCTAAACATAAATCAAAAACAAAGTAAAATTCATGTAGTGACTACTATTAAATGAGAGAACTTAAAAACACACTTAAGAACTCTGAAACATTTGCTATGTTAAATACATTAATAACTAAATACCAACACAAAATAAGACTGAATTAACTAAACCTGAAAGTCCTGGATTTAAAAAGAAAAAAGGCAATATTTAAATGAATTTGTTTAGAGAGTTTTAAAATAATTATTACTATGCCCATTTCATTGGGCACATTACCTAATTCCACGAAGCTTTGCTCGATTATCATGGCGGTCCATAAGATTGTGCATAACTTCCAAGACTAACTGTCTTAGCTCATAGTCTTCCATGAGAGACGGTGACAACAAAGGGTCCAGAAAAGACCCAGGCAGGGCCGTAACAATTGTCTTGGCTTTGTACCCTGAGGTTACCTGGGGACAGCGAGAAACACAAATACCAACAATAATCTTTGTGAGGACGGCTTCTTTAAGGGAATAGTTTAAAACTGCTGTCTATGAACCACGAGCTTAGGGAAACAGAAAATACAGACATAAAATCTGAGGAAAAACAGAAAGGAAATTTATAAGATGATGAAACATTTGACTAAATTTGTAAAAATATTTTTGATAAGGAAAAGAAAACTTGTAGAGACTTACTGAATGTGTACTATTGTACAAATACTGCCTTTATCCTCAGCATATGTCTGCACATGTCAGTGAGTTAAGAACACCTGGGGTCAACAGACTACAGGGAGGTACTCTGTGCTTGTTACCACACAAACAGTATATGTAGGTGACTCAAAGGTGAACACAATTACTGCAAAATAAGTACAGTACCTCCCATTCTGAATATACTTACTCTATAGCCATCTATATTTAAAATGAAAACTTGGCATTTTTTGTATTTTCCAAAGAAGCAGCAACTTGTTAAGTAAAATTATTGGATTTCAAGTGCAAGTTCTAGTCTTTAGCATGTGACCTTAGGGAAGCTCCCAACTCCTTCAATGGATCAAGTGGCTTCATCTAAAAATGGCAAATTCCTACTCTCTGTATCTTTCATCTTAGGAGACTTAAGCAAAAGGATAGAAGTGAGAAGTAAAAAGTCATGGAGGAGCAAGAATTGAAATGAATAGGGGACTATTTAAAAAACCAATTATGTAATCCATAAAACTGTTAAGGTCTAGATGTCTGTCATATGTCTGGAATGTCTTACCATCAGCAAAGATCTCAGCAACATGATCTGAATCCGTCTGGTTCCCAAATCCCTAAAATACACAAAGTACTATTATTTTATTAGTATTAATTCACATCCTTTTTTTACATACGCAATTACTTACTGATTTTAAAACTCTGTTTTTAGTAACGAAATAGCTAAACAGATTTTAAAAGTTTAAGTCACAGGTCACTTTGTACTCTAAGTACATTTCATGTAAATTAAAGAGTTAATTAAAAAAAAAAGTCATATTTAAACCAAAGGGAAAAAATTCAAAGTACTGATTCTTAAGGAGATTGATCTACACATGTAACTACATGAACATTAAATCTTATAGGAAGCAATAACTATGTTCAAATTAAAACAGAGATGGGCAAAATCATTTAATGCTAATATTACCAATAAATTTATCATCCACTAAATGTATATAAAAATACACAGGACAGGCAATTCAAAAAGAATTTAAAAATAGCAAAACCGGGGAGCTCTGGTGGCCTAGTGGCAAGGGAGCTGCAACTACAATCCCAGACACGCACAGTTCAAATCCACCAGATGCTCTGCCGGGAAAGGAGGGGCAATCTCCTCCTGTACCAGTCAGATCTGATTTGATGGTACACTCACACAAAAATAATAAAATGAAGAAAAAAAATAGCAAAACGGTGATCCATTAATGGCCAAAGATAAATGCAAAACAATAGTCACAAATTAAGATTAAATTCAAATACGTATTTTGAAGGGAGAATCCATACCCTAGTTGACTGACATCCATAGTATGGGTGGTTGTTCCAAAAACAGGGACTTTCCCCATAATGAACATCATGATTTCTGACCTCTGATAATCTGGTAGGTTACTTCCAAAAAATCCTATGAGAAATATCAATGACAAACATTTAAGTAAAACGTCCAGTAACTGTCTTCAACACATTGTTGCCTCACACTTCAATTGACGACTGTGCTTTTTACACCATCATTTGCAGCAGCGTGTTAAGTTAACCATTGATGGGTGACTGTGACTCACAGCGACCCTTCTGAACAACAGGTCAGAGCCGTGCCCTGTCCTCACACCCTGCGCCATGCCCACGCCCACGCCAGAAGTCACGGGGTCAGTCCACTGCCTGCAGAGCCTTCCTCTCCTCTGCCGGCCCTCTGTTTCCCAGCACGAGGGCCTTTCCCAAGGGCTGCTCATTCCTGACAATATGCACAAACCATGTGTGATGCCATGTCATCATCCTCACCTCTAAGAGGCACCCTGGATGCAGTCTGATGCAGTTAAATGACATATAATCCTAAAAATGTTATTTCATTTGTCAATTTATTAAATCACATACATGTAATAAGAAAGCGTTGGTGGCCCAGCAGCAAAAGCTGCGCTGCATTCCCAAAGGCATGCGGTTTGAGTCCACCAGCTGCTCAGTGGGAGAAGGATGGACAATCTCCTTCCATGCAGGTAATAGCCTCTGAAAACCCTCTGGAGGGTCAGGTCAGCTGTGAGCTATGACAGCACACAACAACAACAATGTATATTTAATCATGTACATATATGAGATAATATATGAATGGTATCTTTTTAGATAAAGTAGTAAATGTCTGGAATAGTGTTTGCATATAACCAGTGGCAAACTTTTATCAATGTCGGCAGACTAGAAAAGAGAAAGGGGAGAGGAAAAGTCTGTGGTATTTCTGCTGAAACAGAAATTAAAAAATTATGAATCTAAACTGTCCTGTTAAAAGTCAGGAATTAAGTGAACTTCATCTGGGAGAACTGCCGGAAGTCCAGGCTGGGTTTAGAAGGGGTCGTGGTACTAGGGATATTGTTGCTGATGTTAGATGGATCTTGGCTGAAAGCAGAGAATA